TCCCCATCACGCCTGACACAAACTAATTGTGCATTCCAGTGACGTCACACCTGAGTTTCAGTTTCGAGTTGGAAACAAGTCGGACAAGCAACATGGACGCCTCCAGGAGAACCTTCTTTATGAGAAAATAACACAACAACATGTCGACAGAGAGAACCGTCAGGACATCGATCTCATTGATTTAATAAGTCTAAAAGAGGACACTTTCTGGGGCCGTCATTGGATAATCAGCTGTCTGATCAGCCAATTGCATGGCGTCCCCTCTCTCTTTTCAGAAAGGCGATTGTTGATGTCACCGGCGCTCTTTTCTAAATGTTTGATATTCCCCCTAGTTTTGTCTTCTACCCTCGTCCTCCTCGCTCTTCGCTGATCAGGAAATAAACGATCTCAAATATAAAACATGCAGTAAAAAGTAACGGAGCAGTGTCGCTCATACAGCGGCCGTTATTAACAGACTGTTGTCATGGAGACAGGACGGACTGCCAGCGCTTTTCTGCCTGGTGGTCATGGGGCCTAATGGTCCCCATCTGACACCCAATCACGTTGCTTGCTGAACACGGGTTGGAGGTCTAGGGCCCAACAGAGTCTAGAATCTCTGCTGGTCAGCTTCACCACCACCAGGGTCTGGACTCCATGGGGGGGGGGGATTTATTCTGTCAACGCTCAGATTTCAAAATCTCCGAAAACAACCACAACAAGAAGTCCTTCTGTCCAGTCCGATATCCATGTTTTCCATAATCTGAAATGTATTCACTCTCCAAACTGAGCTGCAGTCGGTGACGCGGTCAGATCTCCGGTGTTTGTAAAATCTCAGTCTGCGAGCTGCCAACATGTCGTCTTTGGATGTGAGTCGTCTTTTGACAGTCTTCGTGTGTTTAAGGCGTTAGAGAACATCCGTTAAATGTGTTATTAAATGTCAGAGTCAGCCGGTTTTGTCCCCTCGTTTCTAAATGTTAGAGTAGTGAGTCATTCATGATGACTGAAAGATTTCATCCTAAAGGTTTTTATTAAACATGTCGGGGGAGAGAAAGCTAACCCACACAGCATTTATTAAACCTGAGAGTGTGTGTGTGTGTGTGTGTGTGTGTGTGTGTGTGTGTGTGTGTGTGTGTCATTGAGTGAGGGTAACAAAGGTTCCTGCAGTTAAAGGCTTTACCATTTAAAAGGTGAACTCGTCGCCAGGCAACTAGGGATTTGATGAAGACAGGCTTCAGGTGATGTTACACACACACACACACACACACACACACACACACACACACACACACCACACACACACACACACACCACACTGACCTACTTTCTGCGTCTTGTTTTTATCTCTAACAGGACACGATGGAGGAGGATGGAGGACGTCTGTGAAGCTGCATCGCTGCTGTTCATTATGTAAGTGAGCCCACGTCCCCCCCCCGAGGGAAATTGGGCAACTGTGTTACAGATGCACATCTCGCTGCTTAAAACAAACGCTGTCACATAAAGTTAAACGTCTGTGCGCGTTTAAAAACATAATCGGGGATATTTTACCAGTCAAAAAACAGCTGCCACTACCAGGCTGAAAGCGTGAACACACCGCCTGCGTCGGGTTATTTCAACGTTTGAAGGGAGAAGATGTTTGAGTTCATAGACTAGACGCTGCCTTTAAAAGTCTGCTCTCTTAATGCCCAGACAGAACAAGAAGCTTTTATTAGAGAGATAGGACAGTGGATAGAGTTGGCAATCAGGGAGAGAGAGAGTGGGGAATGACATGCGGGAAAAGAGCCACAGGTTGGATTTGAACCTGGCCCGCCCGCTTGGAAGACTACAGCCTCTGTACATGGGGCGCACACTATCCACTGTGCCACCAATCTAGATACTTCTAATTGAGAATAATGTTCTTTGTAAACTGATAAAAAGTTGAAGTCTTCTACTTGCTTTTGTCACTTCCTTTTTTTTATATGTGATGTTTTGATCCAGCAGATGTCGCCCTTGAGCTCCAGCATGAAAACAAAACAACTTGCGCTGCATTGTTGTGTTAGCATGCTAATGCTAGCGATCTTTATTATGCTGGTATCTTCACACTGCATGTAAATTTACCTGAAATGAGCGTGATCTAGAAACACAGTTAAGCAGTGAGTACAGTATGTTATTCTTCTTTTCTCTAGTCCCTCAATTAAACAACTTTTATACACGAGGGGAGGAGTCAGCCGGCCGTCCCGGCGATGTAAACAAAGTGAAGATAGGACTCTGAAAACACCCATTGTAGACAGTCATGACTCACAGGGTTATTTTCAGAGGATATACTTGATTTCCACATTTAAGTGAGAAAAATCACATTTAAAGACTTTAACAGCCAATCAGAGAGATTCCTCTCACCGACTGAGGCTGATTCAAAATGTCGAATTGGCCCAAAAAAAGGCTGACGGGAAGCGAGGGAGCTGGACACACCACAAAAACTAGGGCGACGAGCTCCTCGGCGTCTCAAGGCCTTTACGAGGTGACGTTTGATTCTGTGGCACAGAGACGACGTGGAGACGGACACCATGTTTGTTTTTCTTCTGGAGTCTCGTTTGATTACTGGAGTCTCAGTAAGATCCAGTTTCTGTGAAGTAGTTACTACAAACTGCAGGTGTGTGGTCTGGCAGTCTGGCCGAGTCGCCTCGTGTGTGCGTTTGGAGAGTTATTTGAACCTGTCCTCATGTCTGTGGTCTCTCAGGTTTTTAAAGTCGTCTCGCGTGTAGCCAGCTGTAGGGCGTCTCTAAAGGTCATCAACTGTAGCCCACTTTAAACCAAATCCATACAGCTGCTTCAGTCTTTAAATAACGAGGACAGTGAACTGATATTTGACCTCTTTACAAAGAAGAACTCGTCATATGTACAGTTTTTTATTCAGAATATTTACTCAGAAAAAAAAAAGATTAAATACACACAGCAAATAACTCCTTCAATCAGTGCTGGTATCAGACCGCTACGGCTGCATTCCAATATGAATATATCACAGTTTCTTCACGTCCCTCCTGACCTCATGTCGGAGGGTGACCTTCCCAGCGTTTCTCCTCCCTCTTTGATGATGAAGCTTTGTTTAGCTCGCTAATCTACAGCACGAACACGAGCATGGAGGCGCTCGAACACAAAGCTAACAGTGAAAACAGAGACTGACACAGAGCTACCGTACGTTATTTTCTAACTCGCTCTGAAACTGAACGCTAGCTACAGTAAACAACAACCTTATGATACTGAGACGTTGAAGCTTCTATTGCTTGTTAAATGAAGGTGTTTATTGACAGAGGTTCACGCCAGGTCTAAAGGACTACATCAATGTTTTGGGGAAAGTTTCCTCAGATACCCAGAATGTGACGAGAATTTAGGCACTATCTCTGTTTCTGATGAATGCTAACACTTTTAGCTTAAAGTATATTAGCCGAGAATCCAACCAGCAGCTGCTTAAAAGAAGGAGGGGGAGGGGCAGTGACGTCGTCTATTGGTTTGTTGCCTGTTTGACATTTTGACCAACACCATATTGGTTTTCTGGAGCCAGAAGGGACCATAGTGTGAAGAGAAGGTGGAGCAATGGGTTAGCAAATGAAAAGGCTAACTGCTAATTTCCACACAGTCTTTGCACGCCGCGGTGCCGTTCACTGCCTCTCTAGTCAACGCTCCTGTTTCGCTGCTCGGTTTCAAATACGCACCGAGTCTATTTTCGACAGAGCCCGCTGCAAGCAGGAAGTCAGATGGTTGTTTTGAAGTACAATTTCAAAATAAAACACTATATACAGACCTTGGATCGTACGTTCCATCACCTTCTCAACATTACGTAAAAACAGGCACCGTATGAACAACAAAGCAACATGTTGTTTGCAAGTTTTTTTTCTATTTATTCCCGTGTGATCTTGTTGCTCTCCTGTGATCTCGTGGACCCGTTTGTACAGCTGCTAATGGTTGCGCTCATGCTCCAGGAAATGGACCCAGTGGGGCAGGGTGCACAAACCGTGTTTCTGATGGAACGCACCGACTATTTGTAAATCGCGGCGGTTGGATATAGAGCTTGAGAGCTTAGTTGCATAGGTGAAATACTTCAGGTAGTTTATTCCAAAGGCAGATTAAAATGATAAAACTATGCCTCTTAAAAGTGCTTAGGCCTTGCTACAAAAACAGCCTCCATTTTGGCTCTGTTTCCTCAAAGGTAAAGGGCTTGAATGCAGCATTGATTTCATGACTTCTCATCACATAATAAAGTGATTGATGGACAAAACTTTTAAACGTTCATGTAGTCCTTTAACCGTGCGTCGGTCTCCTTCCAGTGTTTCAACCTGCACAGACTAACAGTCGGGTCTGATTCACTAAAGGATTATGCGGCTTCTGCGCCTGAACGAAAGACTCAAAAGGAAACCGTCTATTTTAACAAAACACACACACAAAGGGTTAACTGCACTCCTGAGTGGGCTTTAGAGCAGAAAGTGCACCAGTGCAGTTTGTGCGTCTTTAAATGATCCATCATGTGGGAAAAAATCAGCCTCATTTTAGAAAGCGTCTAATTTACTACCAGCGGCGCTACAAGCCACGCACTGTTAGAGTGGAGAAATTACCATCGGCTGAGAGTTGCCGGTAACTGCGCCGCAGTGTTTTTATAAGAGATGTGACGTCTCTGTGTGCCTTCAAAATAAAAGCTCTGTAAATAAAGTCAGTAAATATGACTGTTATTAATATAACCAGGGGTTGAATCGGTCCGGGGCTGTCAGCGTCTCCACACTCCACATGTGTGAAGACACCCTGGAGCCGTTACCATGACGACCATGTGAATGTTGTTTGTCTTTAAGTCGACCTTTCTCGCTCCGTTGAGGGAGGAATCTCACATGTTTAGAGCGTGTCCTCTTGATAAAGTTTCTCATCATCTTTATGTGGAAAGAACTGAGCTCTGTCAGTGTGAGAGTGCAGCTCCATGACTGATGCATGATATTAGGAGCTTTTATTTGCTGAATCCATTCTTTGTGAATCAGGCCCTCTCTGAACTAACAATCACTTGACCTGTGTGTTTCTTTTCAGTTTACAACACTGGAATAAAAACCGTAGTTTATTGCCTATTGACTACTCAGAAACTATGAAGTGATAATTGCGCTGGTTGACGATAAACAGAGTTTCATGCAGAGTTAAGACAAGAGTCCGTAGCTAGCAGGTTCTGAGGAGATGAGGAGTTGTCGGGGGAGAGAGAGTTCGGTTTGACGGTGTTCGGTCTGTTTCCTGCTGACATCTCAGAGCGTCCTGACATTGTGCCGTCGATCCTCTAGAAGGTCAGCACTGAAACGGGGAGGACAGGAACAACAACAGGTTGCAGGATCAGTTTGGTTTCATCCAGCGGGACTCTTCATGCAGGGCGGCTTAGAAACACAGAGGAGGAGGAGGAGGACGTGCAGACCTGCATGCGTGGAGCTGAGATCACTTACAGTCAACCTCCAGGATGGCTCTGACAGTCCGTGTGAGCTCCTTTGCCTCCTGAGCGAGCGTGGCTGAAGTCCATGGAGTTTTCTTGTAACGAGGAGGGAGGCCTTGAGACGACACTCCGACTTTAACGTCTCCAGAGCTGCACAAAGAGAGAGCGTACGATCATGTTAATGATATGTCATTGATACTACTGACGACTACAATGAAGAGTGTTCAAGGACGAAAAGAAAACACTGATACAGATAATATACAGATAATATATGTCTTGAATTGGGGGGGTTTCACATTAGGGACCCGAGACCAGATCTGAGCACCAAAGTTCTGTTCATGTGATCAGTGTGAACACGAGCTCCTCGGCTGATCCCATTTCTCCTCTGCAAGTGTGGACCCAGGGGTGTCTCAAAATGATCCCAGAAGGATAACCACAAAATCGCAATAGCGATAGATTGGAAAGGGGAGAAAAAACAACAAAACTGTATAGAGCCACAACAGGCTTCCTAACCTAAATAATGCATAATGGCTCAAAACCAAAATTGTCCAGGAGACCCAGAAAACACTAAACAAAAAGCAAAGGCTTCCTGGGAGACCTTTGATAACACAAAAGGCTGGAGTAGCCACAAAACTATCCAGCACCCCAAGTTATACTCTGGGAGACCGGCAACGGAAATCTTATGTAGAAAGTTCTTAGTTGGTGTTTATAGATACACACAGATACACAACCTCTCACTACCTCTGAAGGTGAGATAATGAGTCAGCACAGAACACTGGAGACTTGGGCCCATTCTGAATATCCACAGTTCAGTAGTCAGTACTTTTCAGTAGGAGTTTCAGTAGACTGAACTCTCGTGGTCATTCAGTGGTCATTTTTTGGGTCCACCTCAGTATACTGAACATTTCAGTGTGGATACTAACTTCCTGGTTTCATGCAGTATGGATCGGATGAATCCTTTCAGGAAATGAATTGTATTTTACCCACAATGCTGTGCGAAATTAAACGTAAATTGTCACTTTATGTCCGCCTCCAAATCAAAACAAACGAGTGTGGATTAATTTAATCAGTTTTTAATCTAGAGTTAAAGTCCCGACTGAAATCACTACTTTAAATTAACAACAGAAAATATAACAAATATCTGCATTATTATAAAACCTTTCCCCCTCTATTTAAATAATGATTTCTCTATTTAAATAATGATTTCTCTATTTAAATAATGATTTCTATTTAAATAATGATTTCTCTATTTAAATAATGATTTCTATTTAAATAATGATTTCTCTATTTAAATAATGATTTCTCTATTTAAATAATGATTTCTATTTAAATAATGATTTCTCTATTTAAATAATGATTTCTATTTAAATAATGATTTCTCTATTTAAATAATGATTTCTCTATTTAAATAATGATTTCTATTTAAATAATGATTTCTATTTAAATAATGATTTCTCTATTTAAATAATGATTTCTATTTAAATAATGATTTCTATTTAAATAATGATTTCTCTATTTAAATAATGATTTCTATTTAAATAATGATTTCTCTATTAAAATAATGATTTCTCTATTTAAATAATGATTTCTATTTAAATAATGATTTCTCTATTTAAATAATGATTTCTATTTAAATAATGATTTCTATTTAAATAATGATTTCTCTATTTAAATAATGATTTCTATTTAAATAATGATTTCTCTATTTAAATAATGATTTCTATTTAAATAATGATTTCTCTATTTAAATAATGATTTCTCTATTTAAATAATGATTTCTATTTAAATAATGATTTCTCTATTTAAATAATGATTTCTATTTAAACAATGATTTCACTATTTAAATGTGTCTTTATTGTTTATTTTATATTCTGTATATTACTGTCTTTCATTTGTACTTTTCTTTATGAAGGCTACTGTATGTTATTTAGTTATAATATTTTTTTTATTTTTTTTAAAGATTTATTTATGGGCTTTTTGTGCTTTTAATGGAGAGATAGGACAGTGGATAGAGTCTGAAATCAGGGAAAGAGAGAGAGAGAGAGAGAGGGGAATGACATGCAGGAAGGAGGCCACAGGTGGGATGTGAACCCGGGCCACCCGCTTGAGACGACAGCCTCCATACATGGGGCGCGCGCACTAACCACTGCGCCACCAGCGCCCTGTTATTTAATATTTTACTTGATTTACATTGTGATATTGTTTTTTGTTTACCTGACTGTATTTGCACATTACTCTTCTTGAATAAAGAAGAACAAAAAAATACAAAAAAACGGGTGAATGCGGCCTGTTCGGGAAACGTAAATGACGTAATTTCTGCCTACTGTGTGCGCCTACTGAACAGTAGGTACTAAACAGTATACAGCACAGATAGTAAGTACTGATTACTGACAGATTGAAGAGGTACTTGACAATTCAGATACAGCGAGTTTGTACCGGGCTGTAAACATGTCAGTTGTGCTGTGAAGTTAAAACTTTAATATTCCTCATGATGATGACGATGTTTAATCTGAGCCACCTCCAGTGATGCCACATTTAAATCTGATGTGAAAGTTTCAACCTGCTGAAGTGACCGTATGGTGACGGCAGTAAACTCTGCTGAGCTCTCTCCTGAAACTCAGACGGGACTTCAGGTCTTCATTATTCGTCTCGTCTCTGCACAATGAGGCGTTCTTTGCTTTATCATCACGGCGCCGTCTAATGGGTGTAATGAGAGCGGTATTCAGCGTCAACAACAAAAAGCCATTAACAGGAGAGAAAGAGCTTTTTATGACTCCACAGAAAGGAAGAGACGTGCGACCTCGATGAACAGCCTTCATTCTGCTCACAAACAGGACGACAGGTGAGGAACCTTTTTTTTTTAAAGCTGAAGGGGTCCTGAAGTTACGTAAGAGCAGCCGAGGTGTCCTACTGACCTGGTCTGGAATAAAAGGAAACCTGGGCAGGAGGTGCCACAGCTGGGTGACTTAACCACACAACCGATTGACCTGATTTACAGACGGACTTGCACAACCGACCTGTAGGTGCAGGTAACTCGTGATGTTACGCTCGACGAAATAACAGATCGGACATGAGACGGAGAGAAAAAACAAAAGACCAGAATGGAGGACAGAGAGAGAGAGACTCTGATTACACAAACAAAATATAAAAGGAAAACGTAATCGAAACAGGACGGATTAAAAAAACAAGAGCAGTAAAGATAAAGACAGAAAGGAAGGACTTAAGGAGACGAAGAAGGAAGGAAAAAGGAAGGACATAGGGACAGATCAAAGGATAAAGAAAAGAGAGGAGAGGAGGAGCAGAGAGGAAGAAAGGAAATGTTTTCAAGAGGAAACAAAGGAAGCAACAGAAGAAAGAGGAAGCTGAGAATGAAGACTGGTTAAAGGGAAAGGAACAAATATGGACGAGGGAAAAGAGGAAAAAAGAAGGTTAGAACGACATTTGAAGGATGGAAGGAGAACGGAAAGCAGCAAAATATTATGAGAAAAGTCCATCCTCTCCGTCTTCTGCCTGCTCCACTTTTCAGAAAATGTGTGCTCAAACAGGCCGTTTGGAGATTTTCCCTTCATGACATCACAAAGGGCAGTAGCCCCTCCCCCAGGTGGGTGACACTCCCACAGCTAGGTGTTTGTTCTGCCCTCTGAGTCTGCCTTCTCACCGTAAACAATAGGACATGGAGAGAGAAAGACCGAGACACTCAAGCACTTCCAGAGAGGGGGCGTGGTCAGACACAGCTCATTTACATATTTAAAGGTACAGACACAGAAACAGCCTGTTCTGAGCAGGGCTGAAATAGAGGGGTTTATAGACATGATCAAATACAGGATCAGAGTGGATTTAGAAAGCCCCTCTAATGGGACTGTAGAGTAAAACAAATATGGCGGAGGAGGATAGATTCGGACTTTTAAATGTCGACTCACAAAGAAAGAAGTTAAACTCTGAAAAAAGACACAGAGATGGCGTGACGTTGTCGCTGTTTTTCATTCTTCAGTCGTCTCGTATATCAGAATGTTTTTTTTAATAGGATGGCTTAAAGAAGGGGAATGCAGCCAAAAGTCACCCAGATAATCGTGTAGTTTCTACCAGGCTTTAGATAGAGTTACATCAAGTCCAAAATGACGACTGCCACAGTTGGGCTTCAAAACGCCTCAGGCAGAGACACCATCATGTTTTATACACTCTATGGTTCTCCTTAGTGTTCTTCTTCTTCTTCTTCTTCTTCTTCTTCTTCTTCTTCTTCTTCTTCTTCTTCTTCTTCTTCTTCTTCTTCTTCTGTGGTGTTAAATGTTTAATGAAATCTTCTCGGTGTGACCTCTCACTGTCTCTCAGGTCGAGTCATTTCATAACGCTTATTATCTAAGCTAACTGCTGGCTTACCTGGGCTGAAGTGGGCCAAGCTGGACCACCGAGTGTGTGTGTGTCTGTGTTCAACTGTGTGTGTTCAACTGTGTGTGTTCAACTGTGTGTGTGTGTGTGTGTGTGTGTGTGTGTGTGTGTGTGTGTGTGGTGTGTGTGTGTGTCAGGGCTAATGGGCTCTGCTCTCTGCAGGAGTTCTCATTATGTAACTCTAATGATGGTGTCGGGGTCAGACAATAACACACACACACACACACACACACACACACACACACACACACACACACACACACACACACACACACACACACACACACACAAACACAGAAACTTACTCATAACACACAAACATCCACTCGAGCTGCAGATATGGTGGTTGCTAACGGCAACCAGTTTAGCAGCTCGCAGTCACTGAATGTGACTCATTAGCATAGCCACCGTGTTTCTAACGATCAGCAGGCTTACAAGTACTGTAACTCCCCCAAACCCCCACCCCACCCCCTCTCTGTTTCTATTACACACACACACACGCGCGCTACCTGTGGCTTTTCATTGGTCCGTGACTTTCGAGCAGGAATTCTTGAACGTTCTGCAGAAACAAAACAAACAGAAAATGAAAACATTTATCAGCAGTTTGTAGAAAACGTTCTCGATTCTGTCTCATTAATGAAACGTGTGCACGCCTGTGGTTCGCACATTAATGAGTAATCGGTGTTGATAAATCTCACATGTCCTGAACCGGCGAGCTCGTGCAGGTTCGAGGACACGTGCGTTCAGAAATGCAGCCAATAAACCATTTATGGTAACGACACACCCCTTTAAACAAAACTTAAATGAGGGCCCTCGTGTTTGATTTTTTTACCTCCACAAAGCTCAGCAGCTTCCCCGTTGACATCTCAAAACCCTTTTTGGCCGCTTCGCTCTTCCGTAGTTGACACTCCAGGACGACTACTCTCTTCTTCAGCTCCTCCGTCTCCTCCTGCGGGAAGAATCAGAACAGTCAGAACAGTCAGAAGAATCAGAAGAATCAGAACAGTCAGAACAGAAGAATCAGAACAGTCAGAACAGTCAGAACTCTCTCCACTGTCCTATCTCTACAATAAAGGCACAAAAAGCCCGCCAAAAATAAATCTTTGAAAACAATGGAGTTGCCCCCTGCTGGCCATTAGAAAGAATGCCAGTTTATGCATGGCCAACTGACATGTTTTAACCACCAGGGGGAGCATATAGAGTAACATTTTTATTTTATTTATTTTAAAAGTTTTTTGAAATAAATCAAAGGCCAAACCAGGTGAGCTTTCTGGCTCACCCTCACTACGTCTGTCACCTTATTGGTTGACGCGGGTTGCTCCACCCTCTGTGTCTTTAGCTCTGCGATCTCGGCCTCCAGCAGGTGGATCACTTCCTCGTAGTCCATCTCCATCCCCCTCGCCTGCTTCTGAGCCGCCTCCGCCAGTTGGATCCGAGTCCTCAGAGCCCGACTATCCTCCGCTCCCACTTTGACCTCCTGGAACAATAAAAAAGGATAAAGGGAGGCGGGGTTTAGAATCTTTGGTTCCAAGTAGTGAACAGAGAACTCAGCGGAGCCTCTGTGGTGCGTTCAGGGCCTTTTTCCGGTGTCAGGATGCGTTGAAGTGATGAAACTTGGCGTTCAGCCTGAGGGACGTTTTTCCTGGATCAGCAGGCTGGGGAGTCGTGTTCCGGCAGGACTCGCACAGACCTGTCAGCGCTCTGCATTTTTCTGTTTTTTTGATAAGGTCAGCAACATGTGAAGGCAACATCACGCACAGATATGAACAATGTGTCGAAAAAAAAACAGTCATGTAAACCTCTGTCCATTTTGGAAAATGACTCAAAATGAATAAAATCAAGTCTCAAGGTTGTGTTTTTTCTTGGTTGCCACTTTTCACATCCAAAAAATCTACAACAATCTGTTATTATTATTATATCATGTAGATTAAACTCGGATACATCAGCTAATCTGTAAACATATTCTCTTCCTCAGGTCGGTTTCACCCGGTCGTCATGACTACGGTCAACACGGAGGTCGTTTTCACAGGAGGGGGGAGTAGCAGAGAGCACTCCCGTGATTCCCCGCCAGCCTCCACGTCATCTTTTTGTTATTGTAGTGACTGAGAGCCCCCTGGTGGTGGAGTTTACATAATGTATCTTTAAACCTGCGGTCCAATATTTAATTTTTTAATTGCATTGGTCACAAACTTAACGAGCTTAATCTTTATTCTTCAGGTGATTTAAATGACTTGAACTCCGTTACTAAAGTAAAAAGGCGGTTTGAGTTTTAGTCAGCAGTCCATCTGGCTCCTACACTTTCTCTACCGTCAGTGTGTGTGTGTGTGTGTGTGTGTGTGTGTGTGTGTGTGTGTGTGTGTGTGTGTGTGTGTGTGTGAGGCTAAGAGGGAAACCAGTTACATAACTGTCACGATGGAGAAACAGACACCCACAACGTTTAGACACAGTAACACCTCTATACTGGGAAACAACCACTCCCAGTACTGTTGGCTCACTGGAAACCAGTAACTTAAATCGTTCAGCTGTGAAATAAACACCGCAGAGCCGCAGAATCAAGTGATCAAAGATAAAAGGATGAGGATGGTACAGAACAAAACGCTAGACTGACACATGACCCTCATTTAAAGTTTTCTCTCTCGTTCAATAAAAGGAAATATTAATGAAGATGTTTTACTTCAATCATAAACATCTAAATATTTAAATATGAAAA